AAAAAAAAAAAAAAAAAAAAGGAAATCAAAACCCCTTGTTCTGAGCTGGCAGTGTGAACATTTGGGAGCACATGTTTCAAGCTGCCTAGGCATTGAGATGGCGGTGAGGAATAATGTGCACACAGTGACTATACCTGAGGACACCACCCGGCATCAGTGCCAGGAAGGATGCTGGTGGCACCAGGCCAGGGCGTGCAGAGGGAGCAGGCAGCCCCTCTCCTCAGAGGTGGGGCAGTGAGGAAATTCAAATCCAGCTCAACTGTTTCCTATCCCAGGGCTGCCACGTGTAATCTCCATGATCCCGGGCAAGTTACTAAACCTTCCTGAGCCTCAGACTCTTCATTCAGAAGGTGAAGACTGCGTCGTCCAGCTCACGTCATTCCTGACTGAGCTCCATGGTGTCTGTGAAGCACTCAGCGCAGGACCCTGAGCCTGGCAGCACTCCTCAGACAGGGCAGGGGGTCATCGCCCAGAGTGCAAACGGACAACTTGACGTTTAGGTTTACACTCGCCGTCAGTGTTCCGGGTGAGTCCCCTTCGCCAAATGCCACCTACACTAACGTGGGCTCGCCTGCCTGCTCTCTGCAGAAGGCCATAAGACGGAGCCTGTCCAGTCATCCCTCGGTACTGCGGGCTGTTGGTTCTGCCCTGCTTCATACCCAAACCAGCAGGTGCTCAAGTCTTTTCTATAAAATGATGTCACTTGCAAATAAACTCTGTACATCCTGACCAATTATTTTGTTCATTTTCTTTTGCCATAGGGATCTGGAGAGAGAGAGAGAAACAGGGAGATAGTGAGAGAGAAAGAGAGAAATCACTCCCCCACAAGGGGCATGGCCATGCCACAATCCCCTCTCATCTTTGAGAGAGAAAGAGAGAAATCACTCCCCCCACAAGGGGCATGGCCATGCTACAATCCCCTCTCATCTTTTTTCATCTCAGGATTTTAGGCATGCATGCACACACACACACACACACACAGTGTGACTTTCAAGCCACTAGGTCCAGGACTTGAACTCCGGTCGACCATGTGTGAGTCTAACACCTTAACCACTATGCCACCTGCTGGCCCCTCTAACCATTTTTCCCCAAAATATTTCCCATCCATGGTTGGTGAATCTGCAGATGAGGAACCCCCAGATACGAGGGTCGACTGTGTAGGGTAGAGGAAGTGCCTTGGAAGGGAAGCTGCGGCAGGGGCTGCTGGTGATGGGCAGTAAAACACGGCTGTCTCTCTGTGAGGCCATCCTAAGTGGGAGGGTTCCTGGTTCCAGTCTGAGTATCCTGGGCCACATGTGCGCCCACGATTCAGTTGGCTGAAGGTAATGGTGGATCACAGCCTTGGGGCCCTGTCAGGGTGCTGTCACTCTGCCTCTGTCTCTGTCACTGTCGATCTCTCACTCATGGGATAAAGTCTTTAAAAATTTTTTTTTTTTAAATTTAAGAAGTGGGCCAGACATCAAACTGTTGGAGCAGAAAGGTGTGGCCAAGGGAGAGAAGGGAGAGGTCCCTCCAGGGCCTCCTGATAGATGGGCCCAAGCACAGCTGCAACGAGGACCTGCCCAGGGCCCAAAGGGTCAGAAAGCAAGGCCAGTCTTGGTGCCCAGACAGGGCGGAAAGACCTGAGAGGGTTACTGAGCCTGGGTAGAGGGTGAGGAACAGAGCTGCAGTACCCAGAAAAAGCACATCTGTCCAGTTTAATTTTAGAAGGCAGAAAATCTACCTTTCCAAAACTGGCTCCCCCAAAGCTGTGTGTGCTGCACCTTCTAGTGGTCAAAATTAGCAACTACAGCAATTTGGTCAATTTCTTTCCCCATCCTACCTTCTCTAGCCAATAGGCACCGTTGGTGACCCCATCCAAGGACTTGAGCAGGCGAGATAGAACAGAGCTGGGGAGATGGGATGCTCCCCAGGAACAAGAAGCAGGTGGATGGCTTCGCAGAACTTTAAAATGTGTTTGTTTTCTAGGGAAGAAGGAAAAAGAGAGACAGGTCCTCCAAATAAGGACTCTCCACGCTGCAGCCCTGCTCCCAGCCTCCTAGCCAGCGTGGATCACAGGTACAGGAAGGCATGCTCACGTATTCAGTTCGAACCTGGATCCAGTATGGCACAGCGGTGCCCTGCTGCCTGCACCACCACGACTGGGTCCTTCCCAAGATTTAATTAGTGATATCCACACATAGGGACTGGATTTACAGTGCGACTTACTGAGGTAACCAGAGGACAGAAACAAAATGCTAACAAGTCCAGTGTCTACCAACTGCCTGGTTTCCTGCCCAGAGAGGTCGTGTGAACAAGCAGCTGGTTAGTTTAGAGGCCAAGGAGGAGGGTGAAAGCCAAGGGCTGGCATGCAGCCAGCACTGCCCAAGGGTAGGAGTCTGGCCGTGGGTGAGACAGGGTGGCTGGGAGTAGAGGGCTCTCAGAGATGAGAGCTTTGGTCTTTCATAGAAAGATGCCACTAGGACCATCTGATACAGTTCTCCAGCTCCGGCTCCACAGTCTCAGAAGGCTGAGGGTCCAGGCTGCATGCCACATGTGCTCAGCCTGGGTTTCTCCAGAGAGATGGTGGACGTGTCTGCCTTGTCAATGTCTCAAACCTCCGCATGGCCAGCCAGTGCTGGGGACGACAGGGAGTGACAGATCCCCCTGCCCTGGGGGGATGTACCTTAGTATGGCTCTGTTGAAAAGTCTGGTGTCTTTGAGGAGCGTTGATTTTGCTTCTCTATGATACAACAAGTCCACCCCTAAGTACACAGCCTTGAGCCCTTGTTTTCAACATTTTGTGCCTGCATTCTCCCCGCAGGAATTTGAAAGATGCAGTTCTACTTTGTGGCATATTTAACAAAGGTAGATCTTTCCACCGCAAGTTTAAATAAACTTGCAACGCCTATCATTTCCAGCATTCCCATAATGTCAACACTTTAAAATAAAGCAGTTAGTCACTTTCCAATGTACCCACAGGAATATAAATGCCACAGTGATTGGATAGCCACTTTAAAAATATACAAAGTTTGTTTCTGAAGCACTTGCACATTTGTTACCATTTCATTTTTTTCCTTGAACTTCGATTTCCATTCCACTCGGTCCTGGGAATGTCCTCCTGCACCCTGGAAATTCTGAGCTCCCGGGGGAGTTGATCCATGACCTTTTCCTTGTCCACCCCACTTGCCCTGGTTGGCAGAGCTGACTGGGGTTTGGTTTAGTTGGGTCCTTTTCCAAGAAGATCCTGAGCCTGCTGTGGGTTTTTTCCAGCCCAGTGACCCACTATAATTGAGCCCTTTTCCAATACCCTGTGTTCACTCTTTTTTTTTTTTTTTTCTTCCCTGTGTTCACTCTTCAAGAAGGGTCTGAACTTGGGTCTTAGGCCGCAAGGGCAAATAAGATTCTCAAAACATTGCTGCTTACGTGATCAATTAATGTAACATACTAATAGCTGCATTTATTGAGAGCTTCTTATGTACCCGCCACTGTGCTGAGGGCTTTTTGTACTATATTACCCCATAATCATGATGGAATCAGACCTATTCCCATACAGTTAACCAGCAGAAGAAAACTTCTTTCCAAATCCAAGAAGCTAGCCACTTAAAACAAACTACTTAGTTAGTAAAATCTGGGGATTTAAAAGGATGGGTGATACTGTTTTCTGGACATAATGGACAACTTTTCACCCATCAGCAGGCCCAGTTTGGGAGGAGGTAAGCAATGCCTAAGACATCTTAATTCTATTGAGACTTGTTGAGAAGGTGATTAGTCAAGACAGTAAAAAGATAGGCCAGCAGGTGAGGTGGAGGTTAAGGCACTGGATCCCACATGGCCAACTGCTTGGTTTGAGTCACGAGCCTGGTGGCTTGAAAATCATGCCATGTATGTGAACATTCATGCCCCAAATCCTGAAAGAGCACAGGAGGGAAGGGATTGTGGCGTGTCCATCCTCCCCCTAGGGGATGACTTCTTACTTCCTCTCTCTCTCTCTGTCTCTCTCTCTGTCTCTCTCTGGCAAGTACACGTGTCCTGTAGTAAAAACTCAGAAAAGAAAAAAGGCAGTAGAAAGAAAACAGGACATGTCTTAAGTTGTTTCTGTCAAGTGGCTTTAAGTGAACTAAAATCATAGTAGGTAATAGGGGCTGGACTGTGGAGCAGTGGTAAAGCACGATGCTCTTCAAGGCTGACACACATGGAAGGTCATGAGTTCACATCCCGAGACCTCCCTGAGTACACCCCGCATGTGCTCTAGGCTGGCTGGGGCTGGGAGTAGATTGCAGTGTCAAGACCCTATTGAAGTGCCATCTCTCTCACGCTTGCTCATGGAATACATAAATAAATAAAAACACTTTTTAAAAATTCCACCTTAAGCCAATGAGATAGCAGGTGAGCGGACAAATGGTTTGGGACTGCCAAGTGTTTCAGGATGCCAAATCCAGCCCTGTCCCACAAAGAGGAGGTATTGAAAAGATGGAGGACAGCTTGGAAGAGGAACCACCAGGGGGCAGCAGAGCACAGTGGAGCCAGACGGGCGGAGGCACCCAGGGCGGTGGCAGTTGCTGCCAAGCCCCCTCCAGAGCCACTGCTTCTGGGGAAGGACTAGGTCAGCAGGTCCTAGACAAGGCTCTGGACCAGCACTGTCCACTGCAAATAGCACGTGAGCCACGTGGGGGTTCAAGCTTACTGGTAGTCACTTTAAAAAGACTAAAAGGGAATGGATGATGGAAATTTTAATAAAATTTTAAATTTAACCTCATATATCCAAAAATGTTATTATTTCAGCAAGGAGTGAGGGAAGGGAGCTAAACCGTAATTAGTATTTAAAGATTCAGATCTAGTTCATTCTTTTGCGGGGTGCTCTGAAATCCGATGTGTGCTTTCTGTTTTCGGCCTTTCTCACTTTGGACTTGTCACAGTTTAAGGGCACAGTAGTCACTCGTGGCTGTAGATTCTTCATTTTGGTCCGCTGATTTTTGCTGCAGGACAAGGGCTTAGGAGGATTTATAAGTGTCCCCAGGAGATGGAGAGACCAAAGACTTCTCTGGCCCTGACTATGGCCTTGGCCTACAGCCCCTGCTACCAACACCTGTCACAGATCTTCCCGACAGGCACTGCTGTCTCCCTCCTCACCCCTCAGGCCTCTTCCTTGCTGCACTGGAGCTGCTTTCTAAAATGCATCCCACTCTGTCAGGAGATGTGCTTCTGTCTGTTCTGAGACACAGCAGTTTAGCATTCAAGGATTCAAGATTGGGTAGCCTAGCTTCAAGAAAGCACAATGATTGAGGGGCAAAAACATCTACCAAAGTCTCGATCCAGTTTCCTTCCTACAGAGAGGTAGATCTGAAGCAGGTGAGGGCAGGCCCTGGACTCAGCAAGCCTGAGAAGGATCCTAGCTGTGGCCTTGGACAAAATTCTATTGGTGCGTCAGTTTCCTCATGTGTAAAATGAGGAAAATGATAGTAATTGTTCAATAAGGTTCTTGTGAGGATTAAACAAGACACTGAAAACTGCTTCGCACACAAAATAAATAAATGTTAATTTTGGGACCAGCAGTTAGTATAATGGCTATGTCACTGGATTCCCATGTAGTCGACCGCGGTTCGGGTCCCGGACCCAGTGGCTTAAAACTCATGCCAGGCACGTGTGCATGTATGCCCAAGATCCCAAGAGGAGAACAGAGGAGAAGGGATTGCAGTATGGCCATCCCCCCTGGGGGGTGATTTCTCGCTTTCTGTCTCTCTGTCTCTCTCTGTCTGTCTGGCAAGCACACGCGTCCTAGAGCAAAAACCTCTCAAAATAAAATGTTAATTAAAAAAAAAATCAACATTTGGCCCAGCTTCAGTGGCACAGTGGTGGTGCCTGCTCTGCAAGGCTGGAAGCCATGTGGAAGACTGGGCTCGGTTCCTGGGTGGGCTTGTGTGTGCCAGGTGCCCGTGATCTTGGCTGGCTGAGAAAGGGTGGGGAGGAATCAGGGCGTGAGACTCCATTGAGGGTGTTTGTCTCTCTCTTTCTCACTCACTCAATAAATAAGAGTTTCTTTAAAAAAAAAAAATAAAAAAAGCTGTATTTGCATAACTGCATTTCAACACTTTAAAACAATTACTGTTTGGCAACGCACTGTAAACTGCTGAGACCTATCTTACTGGCTGCACTGCCTTCAGGGTGGGCCTGGTTTTACTCAAACCCTCATCCTTGGTGCCTGGATTGGGCTGTGATGACAATACTTCCTGTCACCTTCAGCCAAGTGGAATCCACCCTCTGGCGTCTAAAATATGTTCAAGGCACAAAGAAAAAGATGTCTATTAAAACAACAACAACAACAAATCTCAGGGCCAGCTGGTGATGTGGTGTTAAGGTGGCTGGATCCCACATGGCTAATTACATGGTTTGAGTCTCAGATATGGCTGCTTGAAAAACATGCTGAGTACATGTGCTTGCATGCCCCAAATCCAGGAGAGGAGAATGGAGAAGGGATTACAACATGACCATCCCCTCGGGGAGGGGGGTGCTTTCTTACTTTTCCTGTCTCTCTGTCTCTCTTCAGCAGACACATGTGCCCTACAGCAAAAAACAAAAAAAATTTAAAAATTAAAAAAATAATTTGCAGGCCGGCAGGTGGCGTGGTGGTTAAGGGTGCTGGACTCCCACATGGCCAACTGTGGTTCAAGTCCCAGAACTGGTGGTTGGCATTCTCACTTTCCCTCTCTTGTCAAATTAAAATAAAGTTAAATAAAATAATTATTATTATATTTCTTTAAATAATTATTTTATTTAGTTTTTATTTATTCATTCATTCATTTTTTAATTTGACCAGAGAGAGAGAGAGAGAGGGAGAATGAAAAAGCAAGCCACCAGGTCCAGAATTTGAGTCGTGGTTGGCCATGTGGGAGTGTCTAACACTTTAACCACCACACCACCTGCTGGTCCTCAAATAAAATAATTCTTTACAAAAAAATTTTTAAGCACTTTGTTTGATAGTAAGTGGCTACTGCTTACTGAGCGCTTGCAAAGTGTCAGGGGGGTTTTTTAAACATGCTCTAATAAATTGGATGTCCGCCATACCTTTGTGTATTGGGTTCTGTGTTTTCTAGGTGAGGGGACAGATCACACTGCTAGGAAGGGGCAGAGATGAGCATGAAATCCAGGCTGTGTGGCTGGAGTCCCCACCCTGTGCCACATCTCCAGTGCACAGCCTCCCAGGTGAGCTGCCCATCTGGCAGCCCAGCCCCTCAGTGGAGCATGCTTGTGTCCTTCACCACCTGCCTGAGCCTACCTTTCCAGCTCCGGCCCCACAGCACCTCCACTCAGTACATACCTACTCTCCTTTCCCCCTTCGATTCTAGGGCTCTCTGTCTCTGTTGACATTGGTTCCTGTCCCCTGAGCACCCTTCACTACTTTTCACCAGGGACATCTATTCCTTCATCTGAGAAGCCCTTCCAGTCTCCCCCAATCCCACCAGACCTGTCCTGTGCTCTGGGCCTGTGTTCCCAGGTCCTGGCTCAGCTCTGACCACACACTTGTCACGTGACATCACCCTGTGTCTGCTGGAATCCAGTTCCTCATACCGAGGTGTCTGCTTCCTGCATGGTGACAAGGGCCAGGCCTGGCCGGCTGGGGAGCCTGATAGGTCAAGATTTGCTCTCTGGCCCTGCCACCTAGTCTGCTAGTACTTTCAACAAACATCTCATTCTCTGGGCCTCAGAGGTGATGGGCGTGTCTTCAGCAATATGTGTAAAGTTCATTCGGGTTGGAGTTTCATAAACCATTTCTTCTTATCAAAGACAATGACTATGTTGTATTTTTCTCTGGATTAAAAGATAGTTTAATTACAGTTGTGAAATCACATAATCCGTAAGTTGATATGAAAGGCAATTTAGCAATAACCTTAACTATTTCAAATACACTTTCCCTTTGATCTAGAAATTCTACTTCTGAAACTTCTCTAACAAATACATCCCCTTATCAGAAAGTACACCTGTACGAGATACTCACTGTAGCAAAAGCTCATGTTGGACATCTTTTGCTTCTGATCTTTCGTTACCACTTCAGATGTGATCCCTGAAGGAGAAACTGCAGCGCTAGCCTTCAGATCATCAGGAGACAAACCCCACTGACTACGCTTTCTGAACGCTGTAGGACGTGCATGTATCATCATGAAAATTGGAATTAATTTAAAAATACAAATCAACGTCTGAAGGTATTCAGTCTCTGCTGTCATAGGGAAATAATGAAATTATATTTCTCATCTATCAAATTTGGCCAGCATTTTAAAGCTTGGCGTTGCAGGGTGACTCACATTGGTCCTGCCATAGCTTGCTGGGGGTGGGGTGAAACGGCACAGCTATTTTACACAGCTCGGCAGCATCCAGTAAAAGGTACTGTGACACGTGATCTCATTTTCCTGTGTCCCTCAAAGCCGAAGATACGGCCTTGGGCCTCTCCTGCTCAGCGCCACCTCCGCAGCAATGGCAGTTACCTCTGCAACGGGTCAGGCTGCAGGTGCGGGCCCTGAGAGATTGGCCTTGGCATATCGTGCCAAGTGTGTTCAAATACCAGGAGCAGGTACTCATGCGTTACTTGCATTATTTAAAGCTCTAAAATTTGAAAAGATTTTGCAAACATAATTTTCTGGAAATGTGGGGAAAGGAAAAAGGGAAATGAGAAAGGAAAAATGTCTCTATTGCCTATGGTAACCACTTCGACAATTTAGTAGTTTTTCCTCTACATTTTTTTTTTTTTTAATTTGCTATAGGGCACATGAGCTCACCAGAGAGAGGGGGAGAGAGAAAGAGAGAGAAATCCTCAA